GCGTATTATGAATTTCTAAACAAACATTTCAATAAATATTTTAAGTAAGATTTGTACATTGTAGTCAATTTATTTAATATCTTTCTTAAGCAAAACATATATATCTTCAAATTTATAAATTGATTTAAATCAATCTGAGTATGAAGTTTTGATAGAAATCTGACTTTCTGTGCCTTACAAGTAAATGAAATTCAAAAATACTATATCGCGATACATCGCTATATCACGATATATAATTTCCAATATCGCCCAGTCCTAGTCACAAGTTATTTCATCATAAAAGTGAACCCTTCACAAAATTCTTTCTTTAAAAATTGAAATTGAGGAAGTCCATAATTCATTATTTCAAGACGTAATGTTTGTGTTTTATTCAATTTCAAAAATGTTACCTTATTTAGTCACAAAATCTGGACAATTCTAAGATAATTTTAAGTTCATAAAATTATATGTAGATTTTTCACAAATTCACAAAAATGGGATCTTTCTCAAAAAGTCCTGGTAGACCATAGGTTTTGTGGTAGACAAAAAGCCAATCACAAAATTAAAGCCCCATTTTTAGAAACTCACAAAATTATGAAAAGATTTTTCAAAATTTCTTAAAAACAGGATCTTTTATAAAAAAAAGTCTAAAGTTACTCCTAGCAACTTTAATTCTGTTACAAAATCTGTTCTTTTTTTTTTAAAATTAATAAACTAAAAGTATCTCTTTTTTATTTTAGGCATTAGTAGGGGACAAAACTATTGCCTTCTGGTTAATGGACAAAGATATGTATGATTTCATGTCTGTACTTTCTCCTTTAGTGCCTACTATTGACAGGGGACTCGCACTGCACAAGATGATTAGACTAATTACTCATGCTATGGGTGGTGAGGCATGGCTAAATTTTATAGGTAATTTTCATTAATACTTGGCACTCTTTCTTGAAATTTTTTTTATATTGTTTATGTATTAAAAAATAATCAAACTTTTAAAGTAAATATTTTGTTTGCATTGATCCTTAAAGTAAAAAAATGATCAGAACTGCAACACACATTACAGAACAGTCAAAATCCCTGCAGAACATGTTCGTACAACTTATGCAACCAATGTTGAGAAATTGACCCGCTAATTTCACATTACGATTTCTCCTCGCATTCCAATTTGTGATAATCACCCACAATGGCATTTTTATGTTATAATCGTGTTTTGTGAGTAATGTTACTTGAGCTTATTTATGTAACAAAAAGTATTTTCTATTAGGCTATTAATCCTTGTTTTGAGCCAAAAATTTTAGCTTAGTTCAGGATGATAAACGTGTGTGTTGATATAATAGGACATATAATAATGCATTTACTACAAAAAAATTAGTGGAGCACATTACACATTAAATGTGTATATATATAATATATATGTACTCCCCTAATTATTTTGAGCAGTTTATAGCCTTATAGGTTAAACATGCATTGTTGGGTTAACATGCATGTTTAACCTATAGGTTAAACATGCAATCCAAACATGCATTGTTGGTTTTGAAAAATAAGTTTAATTATAAAACTTAAGTTTCAGTCTTGGTAGCATTCTTACTGCACCCATATTTTCAACTGTTCTGTTTCGTTACGACCTGATTACAAATGCGCTTAGAATAAACCTTTTATCACAATGAAAATTAAATTTAGGTAATTAGTAATTTTTGTTTCATTATATAAGCATTTATATTAATCATGCACAAGTCACTGAATAACTTTGTGATGGTAAAAAAATTCAAGTATTAAATTTATATTAACACTATACAATAGGGCAAAAGATTGGAAGTCTTATCCTGATACTTCAACTTTTTTACAACTGATAATAATTACACACTGGTAAAATTATCTCTAATAGATTAATAGGAGGTTGTATATCTCTTTGTAGGTTAATTTAGATTGCTATTACAAATATCTACTGTGTTAGGATTATTTTCAACTGGTTAAATTTTTTAAGTTTCTTTTTCGGGGGGGATATTAATAAATTTTTTAATTGATTTTAAATCTTAAAACTATCTTTTTTTTAAAAAAAAAAAAAATTTTTATTGATGTCTCACAAATTTGAAAGCAAAACTTTTATTAAATCTTCTGTAATTATAACTTCTTTAGAAATGGTAGGACCCTCTTTTGATGCTTCTCTAATGTTTAGAATCGAAAAATAAATACAGAAATATTGATTTGATAATCATATGCAATATTTGAAAATCATGTGCAACATTTGAGTACACATATTTTACAATAAATTTAAAATATATAATGCTGCATAGTGTTGAAGACCAATACTGAGTTTCTACTACTGAGATAGTAATTATTAAATGAATGAAATGTGTAAAAAGTTGAAATTCTTATCTATATTTAGAGATGCTAACTGTTACATTTTACTCATAATTATAAAGATTTCAATGTGACGATTATGGTCTTATGGTAGAGTAATAAAAATTTTAGTTTTTGAGAATTTTTGTAAAAAAAATATTTTCAAGTAAGTTTTTTTCTCCCTCAACTACCAAAAGTTCTGAAATTTTGTTGTTTGCTACTAAACTACGATAATTTTTTTTTTATTCCTTAAATAATTTTAATACAATAAATAAAAAGCAAAAATGATTTGATAGAAACAACAAATAGAAAAAAAAACAAAAAAATCTTATCTTTTCCCTTTCTAAAAAGCTGAGACCAAAAATATTCCATTGTTCAAATGAAAGAGGCAGTAAGGGCAAATTCTAATTTATCCAAATGCTAGAACATTGATTCCAAATAATCAATTTAATTTTATAATGGATTATAGAATGCCAGTGTTGTATCATTTTTAATTTAGTACTTAATTTAAGCTTCAATAAATTTTAGATAAACTTATTAATGAGTAAAATTAATAATTTTAATTTAGGTCTTTTAGCTTTTACCTTAAGTACCTAAGGTTTACATTTTTATTTAATTGTAAATTCATGCATAATTTTAGTAATATTATATATCTATATAGAATTTAGTAGGATACGCAGCATAAAATTGCCCTTGCTTAAACACTAAATGTATATATATTTCTGTGTTATTATATTATTATTACTGAAAACTTGCTTGAAAAGTTGGCACCTCTGAATTCTAAGTTTCTTAATTTTTTTTATAAATAATAAAGTTTTACTATCTATGTGTAAATGATTGCAGGTAACGAATTCGGTCACCCTGAGTGGCTTGACTTTCCGAGAGTGGGCAACAATGAAAGCTATAAGCATGCCAGAAGGCAGTGGAACTTAGTAGACAATGAACTCTTGCGTTATAAATTCTTGAATAATTTTGATAGAGAGATGAATCATTTAGAAGATAAATATTTGTGGCTGTGTTCTAATCCAGTATGTATTATGCTTTAACTATACTTTAGCTTCTAAATATTCATTTTCATCAAAGAACTTGTTTTTTTTTTGTGCCATACCTTCATCTAAAAATTAGGAAAAATAGTATAAAAATTTCTAGATTACATTGAAGCATTATCTTCATTGCATAGTAAAATACAATTATTTGTATTGTAATTCTATTTTCTTGCACTCTAAAAATAATGCTGCATTGTAACTTCAAAACATGTATATGTCATAGATATTTGTTGACAACAATGAGGAAATTGTCATCGATTCAAGCCATCAAAACTTGTATACCCCATGGCAGAATCGTGGCGACTTTGTCGCAGAACATTACAGAAATCTTGCAGAAAGATTTTTTATTTGGGAAGCGAAGAAGTTTGGGTTTTTTATATGCAGAATTTTTCAATATATTTTTTTTACTGGACTTTTTTCCCCTTTCTGCAAAATTATATTAAAAAAATACCTTTCTCACATATCGGAAGTAGAAAAAAAGCACTCATGCTTTTTTTTTCCTACTTTCTTTTGAGAATAAAAAAATTTTGCTATGATTGACTTTATCTAGAATCTAAGGTTCATATTACAAAAAGTAATTTCCAAATAGCAAAAATTTGAAAAAGATTAACTAAACAAATATTTTTTAGAACAGGAGAATATCGCCAATAATATTAGAATATGTATTATTTTGTATTTAGATTTTTAAAAAAATTCTTACATTTATAATTAAATATATATATATACTGTTCTGTTCTATACATGAAGGCTTTTTTGTGAGCAGAAAGCGCTTCTGTTACTTTAAATTAGTAACATATATATTTGCTACTATTAAAAATGTCTCTCAGAAAGGTATTAGTACTAGAGAGAATTGTCGAAGGAAGTTCGAAAAAATTCTGCCTCAGGGCTTGTATACATCAATAACGGTAGACTTCAAAGTCAGTTCTTGCTGCATTCTAATTAAAAAAACTTTTTTTATTCTTTTAGTCATTGGAGAAGCATTTTTAATAAGGAAATTTTGTGTTAATTTGCTAAAGTAGCTTTACATTTAAAAAGACAATATTTTTTGTAATAATTTTCTATTTGAATAAATTAAATAGTTTTTTCTTTTGTTTTATTTTGGGGGTTTTAAACACTAGTGTTCTTTTGAAAGCAAGTTGATGATTGCATGTTTTTTGTCTATTTATTGCTCTTTTTCCTTAAATTAGGCATATGTGAGCTGGAAGCATGAAGATGACAAAGTAATAGTATTTGATAGAGCTGGATTGGTTTTTGTTTTTAACTTTCATTCTACAAAAAGTTTTCCCGGTTACAGAGTTGGTGTTGATGTTCCTGGAAAGTATCCTTTTATGTTACATAGTTCAACACTCCTAATGGCTGACATAATATCCTAAATTTAAATTTTTAGTTGTAAGTATTTAGGGTAAACACTTGATGTCATGAGAGCAGCATATTATAGAGCCTGTGCAGTGAGAAGTTTAAAAGGCATTATTAAAAGACTAATAGTAAAAAAAAAGACGAAATTGTATGTTTATATTGAGCTAAAAATTATTTGTCTGCCACTATTGCATTTATATTTATCTAATGTTAAAGTGAGCTATATTTTAAGAAAAGTGCTAAAGTGAGAAGGGAAAAATAATATTGATATTAATGGAGCACATCAGTGAAAAACTGACATAATTTATTTCCTTTTTACAATCTTAATCCAATGTGTTTTTATAAGAAAATATGCATGAGAACCATCGACTAAGTTATCTTCCTTCAGACCTGCAAAGGCTTGATCTTAATCTCCTGCTTTTACATCTAATCTCATGACCTTGAATCTTAGCAATATTTTCACAGGTTTTTTTCTTTCTTTTGTGCAAATTTTTTAATTGTACAGATCAGCATACTTGGCAATTCAGTCCTTTCACTCCTTCCTTTGCAGTTTGAGTAAATTTTGTTTATTTTCATTTTACCTTTTTTTCTTTTTCTTGTGTGCATGAAATGTCTGATAAACCAATGTGATATGTTTAGTATACACAAATGACGTCAGTAAATCTCGGGCAGAGATCACTAGTTGGTAAACTAGAATGTTAATCTCTGCAGTTCTTAAATTTTAAAGTTTACTTTCAATAAGAATTAATCGTGTTTGAAGGTTATTTGCATTTTAAAATTATTGCAGTTCACAGAAATTTATGAATTGTAAAGTCACAGATTAAAAAGATTACATTATTACTATAATTATACAAGAAAAAAAATTCTAGAGTGTTCTAATATAATTTAGTATTAATTTAAGTGAAATAATAACAAATTAATTTAAACTGGTTCCTATAATACCAAACATTTTCTTAACACTTTGTTAGATATAAAATTGTATTAGACAGTGATTCTGAAGAATTTGGTGGACACAAACGGCTTGACCACAACACCGAGTTTTTTACATTCCCTGAGTCTTATTGTGGTAGACAGAATTCAATGCATGTAAGTAATTTTAAATTCATTCTTATGTGACTAAATGCATATTTGACAACTTTACACTTTTTGAAGATTGTTTTCTCCGCTAGTAGTTAAATAACAATTGCATTACAGTTGTTAGAAATGTGTTTTTTTTTTTTTTTTACTTTGCCATAACCTAAACGCAACATCATGTGATTTGTGCATTTACAGGCTTCATACATCCTAAAGAAAACCTGAAAATCTCAGATATTTTGTAATTAAATCAAAATAATCTGGGAAATTTAAAAAAAGGAAAATTTTCATGCTTTTCTGAGAAAAAATTGGTTAGTTTTTAGAAGTTACTAGACACCCAGAGACCGCTCTCACTGCATGCGATTCACGCACCTCTGATTACGGTCGAGAAAAATGGAAGACCTGGTTGGTGAGTTTTTCCACAGAATATTCACCAATCAAGTTATCATTCGACAGTGATAGGAGTTGCATGAACTGCAAGTAGTGAGAATGGCCCTTCAGTGTGTTTGGTTGCTTGTGATAGTAAATGCATAAAGGAGTGATTTTGTATTGATGTATATTAACTAATGTATCGTTTCTTTCTCTGCAATTGTATTAAATCTCTATTTTATACAATGTCTTTTTCTTACTTTGCCGATAATATATACAAGAGATATTATTGTAATATACATATATATTTTATATGTATATATATATTTTAGATATACATCCCATCAAGAGTAGCATTGGTCTATGCTAAGGCTGACTGATGACATTAAAGACTCGAATCTGATGAAAGTACAAAATGTTGCCAAATCTGTCTTTATTATTTTATTCAAAATAACAAGTCAATTTGTGCCATTAGATTAGATATATTTTTTGAAAACGTTCATTTTCCCTAGTGTTTATTATTTTAATTTTTGTAGATTTTACACTTTTTTTTTTAAAAAAAGGGACATTACCATTGGTCACTAATACAAGTGATTACAGTTGCAATTAAACCAACATGTTAAGTTTTTATTTTGTTATAGATATATATTTTTCTGGTATAACATTGTAAATAAATGTTTGTCAAACCAAATTATGTATTGAGAAAAATATATGTGAAAAAGCACTGTTGAGCACTTAGAATTTATGAGATTTTTTGTAATAAATATAATTGCATTTTTATTGCATTAAAGTACTTACTGGATGTGTTGATTTAATTTGCATGATTCTTTTTTTTTTTTTTTTTTCTTTTACAAAATTGGTCAACAGAAAATTATTTAATGAAAACAAATTTCAACCAACGTTAACCATAGTTTAAAAGCAATTGTACTTCATAAAAAACTTATGGTTTTAATACCGTACAGCATTTGTATAGAAAATAATGTGTATTTCTACCCAAGTTGGCAACGCTAGAGATAATATGTGAATGTGTTGGGTGAATTTTTACTTTTTAAAAATAAATCCCCAGAGGTGTCAATTATTACGATTTAACTGTAATTTGTACGATTTTATAGAAATTATTAGTATGAGCGTATTGCGCCAACTCAAACATTTTGACAATGAAACTCATCCCATTTTGTGTTTTATACCGCATTTACTATTTAAAATTCAGAGGAATGGTTTCGATATTTTGTTTTGCTGGGTTCCAAGTCACGTAGAAATCACAGGCAATGATTTAGCCGATACAGCAGCGCGATCTGCCACTACTGCCCTAAACTTATCTATACCATTCTTAGATATAAAAATACATATTAAAAGGTATATAAAATTTTTATGGCAGCAACAGTGGGATAACCAAGTGAATAATAAATTGCACGCTACTAAATCAAATTTGGAACCCTTTCCTGCTCTGCGACTACGTAGTGCAGATGTTAAACTTACCCGTCTGCGAATCGGACACACCAGACTGACCCATCTACATTTGTTGTTTGGTGAACCACCTCCTCAATGCAACACTTGTGATGTTTTACTTTCGATTCACCATATTTTAATCATTTGCCCGTGTTTTAACAGACATCGTCTTACCTTTTTTGGTAGTTCTATTTTATCTATGGGAGATTTGTTGGGTGACTCTCATCATCCTAACATTTTTGCATTTTTACGTGCTATTGGCATTTTAAACTGTATATAAGTTTTATTTTATTCATGATTTATTCACTTTTTACCATTTTACTTGTCTCACAAAATTTTACTGTGTTTTAACTTTGACATGATCTCAGCATTTTTACGTGTCGTTGGTATTTTTAACTACACATAAAAATTTTAACACGTCTACTGTTTTATACACTTTTGTAAATATCTTATCACCTTCGTCCACTTTACTTACTGCGTATTATACTGTACTCATACTCTATATCTGATTTTATTCATACTTTTTATCTGATTTTATTTAAATCTTTAATCTTGTCTTATTCACCTGCTAGTACTGTTTTATCAGTTATAAATGTATTACAATTAAATTTGAATGCACTTAGACTTTTAAACTATTTTACCGTACTGTTTGGCGCAGCATGTCCTCTTTTGGACCTTGTGCCACTAAACCCTACATTCAATCAATCAATCATAGAAATTATTAGGGTGTTGAAAGTTGAGTAAGAAAAATTGCAGTTTTTAAAAAATTTCAGAATGTGGGGGCCTGGAGCAACTGCCCTGTATGTCCCTGCCTTAGTCAGGCTCTGAACATTCACATCAGTCCTTGACTGCCGTTTTGGGGTGTCATTTATTTAACTTTTTACAAAACCTCTACAATATTTGTACAGATATTCCACAACATTGTATAATTATTAAAAAAAACTGTTTTTGTGAAAGCATTCGATGCAAAGCTGAAGTTGGTTAAAACATTTTGGACAAAAACTTAATTTATGCAGATCTCCTTAGCGTTTTTGATGGTTACATACATTTACACGCATGTCTACGTATTTTCTAGAATCATTTTTGCTAAAGGTGATACATATACTTTGTCCAACTGCAGACAGTCATATTCGATCTGTTTTAACAATCAATTCAGTAAATGTTTCATAATGATTTCACTAAATCTTTAATAAATTTTTTTTAAAGCATTGAAGTATTAACAACTGCAATTCTAAATAATGTAACATCCTAATTGATGCGTCATAAGAAACCGTTTAGTCTTATTTGTAAATAAGGTTAGCATAACCTAATGGATATATCAATTCATTGAAAAAATTAGCTTGTTAAATTAGGAATCGGTTTCACAATGTTTTTTTTCGTAAAGAAAACTAAAACTAAAATTTTTAACAGCTTTTTTTTTTGAAAAAAAAATATTTAAAATCTCACATTTTTTTTACAATGATTTTTTCTTCAAACATTTGAATATTTACAACTTTTCTAACAAAAACACATTATTGTCAGAATACAAGACACTTGTTAAGCTTTTTTAGGAACACAAAGTTATGTATTTTAAGAATGGTGCACTAATAACACAAGTAAAACTTCACAAAAATTATTAAATAGATCCAGCTTTTATTTTCTGTTTAAAATAATAAAATATATTAACACTGAAAAGGGTTTAAAAATATTTTGCATTATATACTTACTAAATAAAATTACATTAAACATTAATAAAAATGCTTCAAAATACAATGTACTTTGATGAGATAAATTTCTGTGAATAATAAGACTTTAAAAATATTGGACAATACATAAAAGCATTTACCAACAATATTCACAAATATGTTGATATGACTGTGAATAAGAAATCTAGATGCAACTTAAAATTTTTATCATGAGTCAGTATTCAACCAATTTGGATTTTTAGTTATTGGTAAAATGAAAAAAAAACCTACATTTTTTCGAAATAAAGTGATAGGATTTTCACATCCTTATGCTTAATCGTAATGATAATATATATTTGAGAGCCTTACCTTCAATATGCTAATTATTTAGAGAAGATAGTTGACGCTAAAAAATTTAGCACAAAAACTTACGCTTTGATGGATATATACATCTTTTTTTGACGGATTTTAAATTTGGGGAGTATTTGCAATTTATGATTGCCCAATTTTCTATTGAAAAGAAGAAAAAAAAAAGGCTTTCGAAATGTAGCAAAAAAGAAATATGAAACCTAAACTATAAGACCGCTATATTTCTTTGGGTCAAGAATCTGAATCCACCAACAAAAAAAGGGCATGTTTATACAAATAAAGTAAGTTTTTTGTCCAATTTATAATATCATCAGCTCTAATTAATTGACATATTTTAAGTCAGGCCCTTGGACCATTAAGATAGTCTTCGTTTGTCATAGATAAAATTAAATTCAGTGTGTCCCTTTTTTTTTAAAACTTTGGCATTGTACATGTTGTTGGCTAATTAAATAATACAGCTGTTCATTCATTTCTCAATTAGCCTAATTTATTTAAGCAAGGTTTAATAAGCTTAGAGTAATACTGGTTAATTGAGATAAGCCTCAGCAAATTTATTCTGACTGTTTCTATTACGCATTTCCTAATTAACCAAAAGGCATGTAGACTGAGTATGATTAGTCTTAAAAATATCAGGCTGATTAAATAAAACTGAATACTTTTTTCAATTTGCCTGGAGCATTGCAAGTGACAATGACATATACAAAATTCACAACATTTAAAAATTATAAAACACCTACTCAGATCTTTTGTAAACAAAATAATCAAAATGACTTTTTTACCCTGAAAATTATGAGCTCTGTGTGCTAATTAAGTACCTAATCTCTCTCACACACAAACAAGTTAAAACCAAACAATTTTAAATAGAAAGAAAAATAATCTTAAAAACATTTATACATAATACCAATTCTGCATTAAAATATATTTATACAAAAAATATTTTTATAAAAAAATTATACATACATTAAACAAACAAAAAAAACAACACATATTCACGATAAATATATAGTTTTTCAATGTCTTAAATGGTAAAATGTATACACTATTATTAGCAGAAATGACATATTATAATAGTCGCAAAATCTTTCTTGTACAAAATTAGCACTAAAGCACTTTTTATTTACAGTTTATATTGCACTAATTAAAAAGTGAAGTGTTTGCAAGATCGAGATTCTGCTGTGAAACCAAAGTGCCGTGCTAAAAAGCTTTTATGGTATACTCTAGTTATTTATGAATAATTTTATAATATAAATTACAACCATTAGTTTCTTTATGAGTATGGAGATTCAACAAACTGTTTAATTTATTGTTGGCTGCTAATGTTAAGTCAATGGAGAAAAAGTGAATTTTTTAAACCCCCTAATAGATCTGATAATATTCTGACCAGCAGAGTAAACCATGAAATGTTGCGAAGAAAATAATATGCAAGCATTTTTCACAATCTGAAAGAAGCATAATCCAAGTAGGTTTTGTATTGAAATAGCACTTGAATTTTTTTATTATTATTATTACACTATCTAATATAATACTAGACCTAAAAAGGTATGGACTGGTGCCTTTTTATTTAATTTATATTATAAAATAAATAAGATTTTCAATACTATAAATAAATAATCTTAAAATTAATAACAAAAATTGTTAGATATCTATGGTGCCATAGTTTCATAAACTCCTAAGACTTCATGTCTTTCTATGATAATTGGCTTTTTATGCACACTTCCTGAAACAGAATAGTACCCATTAATTTTAGAATTTAACACTTTTTCAACAGAGACATAACATCAGATGCCTACAACAAGATTGGACACATGCATTCTTTTCAAAAGGTATGCATTTTCAACAAAAATCAAAAGATAAAACTCACTAAAATTTAAAATAATAAAAAGTAAATTCAAGACCAATACGCAAAAATAATCCCCAAAACACAACATGTTAACAATTAAATAAATTATAAAATGTACAAATAAATAAAACACAGTTTCCACGTGAGACAACATTGGTCAAAAATTTGCAAAAAAATCAGTTCTTTGGGGGGATACAACAGCTAATTCTACAGGGCATTCAAAAAGTATAAACAGTCAAATATCTCAAAAATACATATTATATCAAAAATCTATAAATACATGTGTTAAAAAAAGGCACATTCAATGGTCCCTAACTTGAATGTGTCTTTTCCAGGGGGTAGAAGTCAATTTTGGTATCATCAAATAGGTCGCTAAGAATATTAGAAAGTTTATATAAATATATTTTGTCGTTTTTTCAAGATACCTACTTTTTAAACAATAAGAACACTTTTTTTTATTTTTGCGATTAAAATACCATCAATAAACTAAAATGGAAAAACCTGTAAGTCGAAATTGGGAAATTAGTTTCTGGAGAATCCATATCTGCAATAAAAATTAATGCTCCTTTATGAAATTATTTTCTTCCTCCCCACTCCATGGGGTGAGTTTGGGCAGTCTTTGATACTGTAGAATACCTTTTTTAATATTTCACAAGTAAACTTTCAGATTTTTGATTCCAAGTTAATATTTGACATATCGATACTTTTTGGAGACCCTGTATCATAAAAAAAGTTAACCAGATCACGATTCAAGTCCAGCATCTAAACCAAGAATCTGTTTTGTCAGCTCGTAGGTTGAAAAGGAGACTGCAACCATGGGAATAGCTCTTAGGTAATTTATGGTCATCCCTCTGTACAAACCTTTCACCACACCATCTTCACGGAATGTTAAAACAAGTGTCGTAACAAGACCCTTCCTGCAATAAAAATTAATTACTTAAAAATGTTCCATGACATAAACATTTTGAACAATAATAATATATATGTAAAAAAAAAAAAGAATTATCCCACCCACTGTTTTATTTAGGAAATTGTCAGGATACCAAAGCCATGTTTTTAAAAAAAAAAACCTAGCAGAATTTTCTTTGTTTATAAGTAACGTTATAAATTAAGCTGAGAAATGTGAAAATCGAAGGCCAAAATTCTTCTAAATATCAATAGCCAATATAAGCTTCTTAAAAACATACTACAGTAGAGAACCGATTATCCGGAACGATAGGGACCATCGCTATTCCGGATAACTGATTTTTCCGGTTTTCTGAATCGCTACAAAAAACCGTTTTTTTATCGTTAAACCCAACTAAAAAATATATATATATTTGGAAATTATCTTAAAAAGAAGAAAAAACGATGAAGTAATACACTAATGATTATTTCTAAACTGATGGTAAGGTAAGATCTTTCAAAAAAGAAAGAAAAATCCTATAATCTTATGATGAAAAAAACATCTTTTTAAAAAAATCGCGGGAAAATTTATCGAATTTCGTTCCGGTTTTTTGGTTTTCCGGTTTTCTGATTTCCGGATAACGGGTTTTGTACTGTATGTACTATAAAATAAGAATTTAAAATAAGTTTTTAATATATAGTATCTGAAAAGGATTTTGACTTCCTAAAAAATTCTTAAACTAAAAAAAAAAAAAAAATTTCACACTAATTGTTTCATTTTGAAAACTATTAGAGATACAAACACAACATTTAAAAAAAAAAATTAATAGTTGACCTGAGAAAATGAAAACTTAAATTCTTCTAATTGAATCATTAGCCACAACCAGAATGGGACAGAGCCTTTTAACTTTTTTGTTTTCAGTGTAAATATTTTTCTTATATTGAGATCTCCGAAGCCAATTACATTATGTTATGATTCAAAGTAACAAACTGTTACTTTGTATGTATAAGTTTTTGTTAGTGTTTGGACGCTTTTAAAACTGGTTTTTTAAGGAAAATATTTAAGCTATGGCCTTAAGCTCTATTAACACATAACTTAACTCAGGGTGCGTAGCCAAATCTTTGAATCAAAAATAAGCACTTTTTAAAAACTTTTCAAGCACTTTACAAAAATTTTCAAGCACTCGAAAAATTCATATTCAATCAATGATATTATTAAAAAACAAAAACTTTTTATAAATAGTTTTAGCGTTAAAAAAAAACCCAAAAAGAAACGGGCGTAAATCGAAACAATCAGTACTTTCCCACATCACCGAGTGAATTCAACATGACCCTGAACTCAGAACAAAAGTACCCTTACCCCCTACGTCAAAAAAAGTGTTAGAAGTAAAATAAAATAAACAAGAACAAAAATAAAATAAATTAAAAAGAAAAACATTTCATAAGGATCTGATATTCTCTATCCGAATTGGAGCACTCGGGTTTCGGTTACTAGTGTGCGCAAGTCATAACGTGGGTACGACATGAAGTCCGCGTGAATGATTACGTAGCAAACTCCCCATTTTTCATGAAATGCATGGGATCCACCAGATATCACTGAAGGGAAGAAAAAAAATTATTCGGAAAAAAAGCACTTTTTAAAAACGCCAGCTGAAAAAAGCTTTTAAAAACGAAATACCCCAAAAAAGCACCTTTAAGTACTTTTTACAAACGCTACGCACCCTGTAACTGCATCGCAAAATAAAATATGGCTAGTGCATTATCTAGTTTTTGATGCCAAAAAAATTACAAAATAAGCACATGAAATTTTAAAAAAAGGTCAGACTTAACAATACTACTAAGTTAACTTTAATGAACAAAAAATATGTAATGCAAAAATCAGGCATTGAGTAGCACAGCTTTTTTTATTATCATAGAAATAAAAATAAATCAGATTCAACAATACCACTAAGTTATTTAACTTTTATAACCAAAAAATATGCAATGTAAAATCAGGATTTGAGGTGCCCTATCTGCCCACAGATACAGGTTCTTTATTTTGTTATAAGTAGAAACTCATAGAAATGCTTTAATTGAATTTGGAGAATTAAATAACATTTTCAAAATAAAAAAATACATTAAATACCACAAAAATTTTAAAAAAATCTAATTTAAAATATTGAATAAAAAATTACATTTATAATTACAGATTGTGAAAAAATCATTGAAATGTTCAGATACTTTTTTATTGTAAACTATCTTATATAATCACATAGCAAACTGATATGTTGTTATATCTAAACATTTAAATGTTTTCAAAACAACATATTTCTCTATGGTAAACTCTGATTATCTGCAGAATTAAGTGGTCCACGAAGCGCAGGATAAGCAAATTTGCAGATAATCCGCAAAACGCTAAATAAGACAGCCCTCACCATTTTTTTATAATATAAATTTCAATCCATATTATTAGCAGTTTTCTTCGTATTCATATTCTTTTATTTCTGTATGAAAAAGTCTGCCAACTTTTTTTGTTTGTTGGTGTTAGAGAGCAGGGGGTTAAAATAAAACAAGCGCAATTGAACTTTTAACTCTAAGAGTCCATACGCTATTGAATAAAGAACACACAAAACAATGTTTGAAACACATGAATTAGTTCTTATAAAGAGCACATATATACAGCACATACACAATATTTAGAATCTCTTATCAGTAACAAAATTAAAAAGAAACAACTGACGACAATTCTGAAATCATGCACATGGCCCACAAGTTATTCAAGACCCTCTTGTTTCATTCTTTTTCTTTTAGGTGTATAACTGTTGTGTGGGGACCAACCTCATTAGTTAGTTATCAATTTTATAACTGATAAGAGTTCCAAGAATGTGTTACATGTTGACTAAATAAATGATGGAGGATAATTCATATCCCTTCATCATATGAAGGCAAGACAGAAAAACTTCAATTCTTTATGTGCAATCAATATCATTTCTTAGAATAATAATACGATCCAAGAGGAAAAACTCCTTTGAGAATCTATTTATTGAAATTAGAACTTTATTCTGCATTTGTAGTTTGACAGCTGTTAATCATAACTCACATTGTCTTGCTCTTTATAAATGGCTCCTCATTTTCACCCTTTCAATGCTTGTTTTTACTTAGGTATTGCACTTGAAGTTGCAATGTTTATATGTAGACCCATTATTTGATTCATTGTGAACACCTGAGCTACAAGCATGAATGCTTGCTCGTATAATGTTTTCAATTCTAAATGCTATATTGTTGATCATTGCAAAAAAAAACTGATGATCCCCAAAGCTGATAATAATGCTCGCTCATTGAATACGTTCTTAACGTCTAGCTTTTGTATACTTTTTTGAACACTGAAGTTCTGAAAACTTTTCACTGTAGAAAATTCTAAACCTGTGCATTTCAATATTAATTTGAAATTGCAAACAGTTTACATATTTTTCTTAATCACACTATTCTAAATTTCAGTTGTTGAGAAAAGTAACTATTGTAAGTTTTGTTTTAAAGTCTTTCCCACCGGAGGGCTAAAACCATGTGTTGTAAAGCAATATGAAATAGTACTGAACGCCGGATGTAAAGCATCGGCTTCGATGAAGATAATTTTGTGAGAATTTTTTTAATAATTCGGCGAGAATTCACCCGATTAGCCATATGATGCTCACTACGTGCTCTTGCGCGCCGAAGCCTATCAATTAAAACGTATTAGCGTTTTATATAATATAGATTAGCCATATGATGCTCACTACCTGCTCTTGCGTGCCGAAGCCTATCAATTAAAAATGAAAACTGTTGCCAACGTGAGAAAAGAAATATCATCGGTTTTATTGATACATACGTACGTATTAGCGTTTTATATAATATAGATTCTATGTTTATTCAGTGGATAACAATTAATCTTTAATAACTGATGCAAGAAAGTGATCTTACCCATATCTATGGGTCTCTGGTCTCATCATTGACAGCTGCATTTTTCTTCTAGCAACATCTAATGGATATCTAAAAATATAATATAGAGTTATAATTATACTGAAAGTATAACCATTTGAATCCTTTGTAAACAGAATACAACATATTTTTAAGGAAAATATAATTAGGTCTAAAGAAATAAATGCAATTTAGTGTACAACAAAATTCATAATTTTTTAATGCAATTTTTCATATGATGTGCTCTATATCCCAGTGTATAAGTGAACTTTTCAAACTCCCAAAATTTTATGAAAACTAGGAGGTAGACTTATAAACCAGTAATAAAGTTGGATATTTGTTGATCATGAAATATCGATACATAATGCACAATGAGATAAATATGTATAGTATCAATGTGCCTCTTTCAAAAAAAATTTTTTTTTATGATATATAAAAACAATTTTGCAATTTCTTTTATTATATTTTCTTTACTAGTATTGGAAAAAAAACTGCTTTAAATTACGTTCAGAAAAAACTTTTAAAAAAGCTATGCTGTAAAAGTTAGATTTAAAAGTATTTAAAAAAATATATAACAATGAAAATTTTTAAAACATCCATAATCAACAAATTTAATTAACATTGTCTATGTTGGATTCTACAACGTTAACAGTGCCCTTAAACAAATTCCACTCGGCAATGGATTTTACCTCACCATTATCTTAATTACTTTATATATATTTTTTAATTTTAAAAATTTTTATAATTGGGTTTTCAGCAGTCAATTTATACACCTAGTACACCAGAAAGTTAAAAACTCTTAGTCGAAAATAGGGGGTCGACTTATACAGCAGGATATATGGCATTCAAATTGTTTATTTCAACACTCAAACTGGACAATACAATTTTTTATTTTAAATTTTTAGAGAACTCTTGAAGAAAAAAAAAAATTATAAAACGTCAAATTTTAATAACTGGTCATAAATTTTGCACTCCAAAAACTTTTCAATATTTCAAAAATTATATCAGTTGCTTCATCATAAGGCAGTTTACATCTTAAAAATTTTAAGTCATGATAAGAGATCATAAAAAATTTCAAAGTATATTATAATAACATTATGACCATATATAACATTTTAAAATTTAAATTAAATAACTCAAATATTATTTGTAGTTGTAATGCACAGTACATGCAAATCTATCATTCAAGTTTATTGAAAATTAAAAAGAAACATACTATTATTGGCTATTCAAAAAGAAGGTAAAATAAAAAATCAAATTAAAAAAAAAAACTTATGAAATTACTAAATAGTGTTTCACTTTACTTCACCTAAACTGCAGCTTGACAAATATTTTTATATCAAATAACTTAACTGCCCCATTTATTTAAAAAAAAGTTAAATTTTTTAAAATGAATTGCATTTTTATTCATATTAAGATAACTTCCTTATAAAAGTATACTTTAGGATTCTGAAATATTAAGAAACATTTGTTATAGAGATAGCATTTTAAAACTAAGCAGGAATTTTTATTTTATTTTTACTTTCATGTTTTCAGTGGAAAAAACTATTTTTCAATAACTACTTTTTACAGTTATAATGACAAACATAATCAATGTATATATAAAAAAATTACATTTAATTTTCACTTTGTTCTTAGTTTGCATTCCGAAAAATCCAAAGAGTCAAAAATTTTATATCATTTCAAAAGTGATGAACTTTAACATCACACCAAGTCATTTTGTCAAATGAAACTTACATACACAATAATATGCCTACAATAAATTTTAACACAACCTCATATTAAAATACTTTGAAAATTTTTAAAATGATTTCTTTAAAAATTCTTTTAATTTAAATCAGAGATTTTTTTTTTCAAAAAATAAGTTGATTTAAATCAACAAACCCTGCCTTAAAGTAAAAGGTTTTTATACAAATGCATTCAAGTGTTAAAACAGTAACTTGGTTAATAATAAATATCATTTTCCACTTACGACACTGTTTGAGCAACTGCTCCTGCTAGACCTCCACACAATAATTTAGCAGGCACTGTTAATACTATACCGCCACTACTACTGGAATGAGGTCGGCCGCACCACTTTGGCATATACTCTAAACACAGGCACTTGAATCTTTCAAAAACATAGAAGGATAAACCTAAAATAAAATTATAGTTTGATTCATCATAACAAAATAAGTGATGTTTAAACATAAAAACTACATGAATTAAAATTGAATATGTTTAATACTAATACATTGATTATTTATATAATAATTATAAAATATTATCTACATGTACAATATTTTTCAATTTTATTTCATAAACGTCTTTGGACAGCAGACCCAATTTTATGGGTTTACGACTACTAATGTTCAACTTTGAAACCTTGTAATTTTGATACATTACATGAGAAAATTATTTTTAAAATATTAATATAAGGGTAATAATTTTTAAAAGATTGAAAGAAGTTTTTGGCCTCTTTTCATTTTAGAATCCTTTAATAATTGCTTTTTTTACAAATTGTATTTTTTTTTGCTTTTTCATAATAACTTTTGATATGTATTATTTTACATTATATCACTCTTACACTATATTTAAAAGAGCGACACAAGAAAGCTAAGATGGATGTTTCATTAGATATATTTTGATAATCACCTCATTTCTCAATATTACTTCAAAATGCAAACCACACAATTTAATCTCATTGGTTAAATCTCCTTGGTGAAGATATTACACCTTCTAGTATTATCAAACATGTTGTGGATATTAACAAATATTTTTGCAATCACCATGCTCCTTCAGCCTGGCTAAAAGAATGCAGTGATAGTATTTTACCTCAGTTACCTGGAAGAACCAGGTGGAATAGCCAGTTAGCATGCTTGCGAACGTATGAGGGTAATCATAACTCTTACATAAAAGTCACAAATGATCATCTGAAAGAGATGGATCAAAACATTGTTGCCGCATATGTGATTTCAATCTTTTGCAACAAGTAAAAGATCTTATAAAATAACTAGAACCAGTTTGAAATGCCTTGAACATTCTACAGACCAATTCAACTACATTAGCTGATGCTTGCCATATATGGTTTAAATTGTTAGAAGATGACAATTTACAGCCTTATAAAATACAAGTAAAAAAAAGATTTGTGCAATCAATTTTACCTTGGCACCTTCTTGCTTATTTATTACACCCAAAATATAAAGGGTAGCTTCTCAGTAATGTACAGAAAGAGAAGGCCAGAGAATTTCTTGCAGGAATAAATCCATCATTTGTTTCATATGCCTTGAATTTTGAATTACAAGAAAAACCATTCCCTAAAACATTATTCTCAGAGCAAGTTATAGCCACAATTGATGCTAATAAATGGTGGCAAAATTCTTGTGAAATTTCCAGAGAATTTTGTGAATTAATGTCTCACTTACACTCATGTCCTTCTAGTAGTGCTGCCAGTTAAAAGGTGTTTTCGAATTTTTCATTTGTACATTCTAAAATACGGAATAGGTTGACTGTAAATAGCGTTTCAAAACTAGTGTTCTGTTATGCTATGTTGAGACAGCACAAATTGTATTGTGATGATGAATCCGTATCGACCAGCCATCGCTGGGATTCGAGTCTGGTTCACCTCCTAAGCCACCACGGCTTGCAGTGGGCTATTGGAGACTGTCTGGAAAACCTATCGGAAGATGATCCGAAGACATGCCATCACAATTTTAATCCTCCGCAGAAAATTTCTCTTGGTGAAGGACTTTTTTGATGGGACTAACTCACATTTGAGTGTTACACAGATGAGAAAACCTCCTATGGTTAGTCTGCCACTGAGGATATTTTGTGTCAGCACTGGGGTCAATTTGAGCCGGGTGCAAAATTCATATATACCAGTCATCACTTTGTTTCAAACCTGGGTGATATCAATGGCAAGTGCTCTAACCCCTAAAACTAATATATTTCAATTGTCATCTTTACCATAAGTTTCATAAAAAAAAACTAAAATTAAGTGCTCAAAAACATCACCTCCCCCCCCCCCAAAAAAAANCTAAAGTCCTAAGACTACATGTCTTTCTATGATAATTGGCTTTTTATGCACAATTCCTAAAACAGAATAGTACCCATTAATTTTAGAATTTAACACTTTTTCAACAGAGACATAACATCAGATTCATTCTTTTTAACAAAAATCAAAAGATAAAACTCACTATTTACCAAAATTTAAAATAATAAAAAGTAAATTCAAGACCAATATGCAAAAATAATCCCTAAACACAACATGTTAACAATTAAATAAATTATAAAATGTACAAATAAATAAAACACAGTTTCCACGTAAGACAACATTGGTCAAAAAAATCAGTTCTTTGGGGGGATACAACAGCTAATTCTACAGGGTGTTCAAAAAGTATGAAAACAGTCAAATATCTCAAAAATACACGTGTTAAATATTTTCAAAAGACTTGACTTGAATGTGTCTTTTCCAGGGTGGTAGAAGGCAATTTTGGCATCACCGAATAAGTTAAGAATATCAGAAAGTTTATATAAATATATTTTGTCATTTTTTCAAGATACCTACTTTTTGAACAATAAGAACACTCTCTTTTATTTTTGCGATTAAAATACCATCAAGAAACTAAAATGGAAAAACCTGTAAGTCGAAATTGGGAAATTAGTTTCTGGAGAATCCATATCTGCAATAAAAATTAATGCTCCTTTATGAAATTATTTTCTTCCTCCCCACTCCATGGGGTGAGTTTGGGCAGTCTTTGATACTGTAGAATACCTTTTTTAATATTTCACAAGTAAACTTTCAGATTTTTGATTCCAAGTTAATATTTGACATATCGATACTTTTTGGAGACCCTGTATCATAAAAAAAGTTAACCAGATCACGATTCAAGTCCAGCATCTAAACCAAGAATCTGTTTTGTCAGCTCGTAGGTTGAAAAGGAGACTGCAACCATGGGAATAGCTCTTAGGTAATTTATGGTCATCCCTCTGTACAAACCTTTCACCACACCATCTTCACGGAATGTTAAAACAAGTGTCGTAACAAGACCCTTCCTGCAATAAAAATTAACTATTTAAAAATGTTCCATGACATAAACATTTTGAACAATAATAATATATATGTAAAAAAAAAAAAGAATTATCCCACCCACTGTTTTATTTAGGAAATTGTCAGGATACCAAAGCCATATTTTTAAAAAAAACCTAGCAGAATTTTCTTTGTTTATAAGTAACGTTATAAATTAAGAGCAGAAATGTGAAAATCGAAGGCCTACATTCTTCTAAATATCAATAGCCAATATAAGCTCCTTAAAAACAAACTATAAAATAAGAATTTAAAATATAGTATTTGTAAAGGTTTTTGACTTCCTGACAAATTCTTAAACTAAAAAAAAAATTTTGCACTAATTGCTTCATTTTGAAAACTATTAGAGATGCAAACACATTTTAAAAACAATAAATTAATAGTAGACATTAGAAAATCAAAACTTAAATTCTTCTAATTGAATCATTAGCCAATAGTTGTCAATTATCCTACTTAATATACAGAAAAGATTTTTTTATTAACCGCAATAATACACAACCAGAATGGGGCAGGGCCTCGTAACCTTTTTGTTTTCAATCTAAATATTTTTCTTATATTGAGATCTCCGAAGCTAATTACATTAAGTTATGATTCAAAGTAACAAACTTTGAGGAAGTCTTTGCACGCTTTTAGAACTGGATTTTGAGGCAAATATTTACATTTTGGCTTTAAGCTCTATCAACTTAACTACAACATTACTTAACTACATTATTACTAACATTACTTAACTACAACACAAAATAAAAAAATGGCTAGTGCATTATCTAGTTTTTGATGCTAAAAAATACACAGTAGTACAATAAAATGAGCACATGAAATATAAAAGAAGCCAGACTTAACAATACTACTAAGTTAACTTTAATGAATAAAAAATATGTAATGCAAAAATCAGGCACTGTGGTACAAAGCTTTTTTTTAATTACTATCATAGAAATAAAAATAAATCAGATTCAAAAATACCAATAAGTTATTTAACTATCATAACCAAAAAATATGTAATGTAAAATCAGGATTTGAGGAGCCCTATTTGCCCACATATACAGGTTCTTTATTTTGTTATAAGTAGAAACTCATTTAATTCTCCAAATTCAATTAAAGCATTTCTATAACATTTTCAAAATAAAAAAATACATTAAATACCATAAAAATTTTTAAAAAATTTTATAATTTAAAATATTGAATAAAAAACATTCATAATAACTGATGGTGAGAAAATCATTGAAATGTTCAGATACTTTTTTATTATAAACTATCTTATATAATCACATAGCAAACTGATATGTTGTTATATCTAAACATTTAAATGTTTTCAAAACATTCAGGTTTCTGTTTTCAGAGTTTACTGTATTTCCATTTAATTCTACATTTATTCAGTGGATAACAATTAATCTTTAATAATTGATGCAAGAAAGTGATCTTACCCATATCTATGGGTCTCTGGTCTCATCATTGACAGTTGCATTTTTCTTCTAGCAACATCTAATGGATATCTAAAAATATAATATAGTGTTATAATTATACTAAAAGTATAATCATTTGAATCCTTTGTAAACAGAATACAACATATTTTTAAGGAAAATATAATTAAGTCTAGAGAAATAAATGCAATTTAGTGTACGACAAAATTCATAATTTTTTAATAAAATTTTTCATATGATGTACTATATCCCAGTGTAAAAGTGAACTTTTCAAACTCCTAAAATTTTATGAAAACTAGGAGGTAGACTTATAATCCAGTAATTAAGTTGGATATTTGTTGATCATGAAATATCAATACATAATGCACAATGAGATAATTATGTATAACTCTGTATCAATGCGCCTCTTTCAAAAATTATTTTTAATATGCTATATAAAATCAATTTTGCAATTTCTTTCATCATATTTTCTTTACATAATTAAAATGAAAAACTCTGCTTTAAATTACGTTCAAAAAAAATTTTAAGAAAAGCTATGCTGTAAAAGTTAGATTCAAAAGTATTTTTAAAAAAATACTTTTGCCATCCATAAACTACAAATTTAAATTAATATTGCCTATGTTGGATTCTATAACGTTAACAGTGCCCTCAAACAAATTCAGCTCAGCAATGGATTTTACTTCATTATCTTAATAATTATTTTATATATTTTTTTTAATTTTAAAAATTTTTATATTTGGGTTTTCAGCAGTCAATTTATACACCTAGTATACCAGAAAGGTGAGAACTCTTAATCGAAAATAGGGGATCGAAAAAAATTTATATCATTTCAAAAGTGATGAACTTTAACATCACACCAAGTTATTTTGTTAAATGAAACTTAATACACAATATGCCAACAATAAATTTTAAAACTACGAAAACCTAAAAAAACTTACACAACCTCATATTAAAATATTTCGAAAATTTTTTAAATGGTTTCTTTAAAAATTCTTTCAATTTAAATCAGTGAATTTTTTTTTATAAATAAGTTGATTTAAATCAACAACTGCCTTAACACTTTCGCGACAAGTTTTTTTTTTTTTTTTTTACAACAGAATAATTTTGGTAGCATAAACTATGAGTAGGGCAGCATTATGGACCGTAGTGCCATCTATATTCTATGAATGAAAATACCTTCAAAAATATTTGCAGGACTGGTGGGAAAGTCTCCTATTAGACAGAGAAGCGTTTCTGTCCCAAAAGATTTTTTTGAAATTTGCTTGAGACGTAAGTGTCCCATTAGGCGCGAAAGGGTTAAAGTAAAAGGTTTTTATACAAATGCATTCAAGTGTTAAAACAGTAACTTAGTTAATAATAAATATAATTGACATTTTTCTACTTACGACACTGTTTGAGCAACTGCTCCAGCTAGACCTCCGCACAATAATTTAGCAGGCACTGTTAATACTATACCACCACTACTACTGGAATGAGGTCGGCCACACCATTTTGGCATATACTCTAAACACAGGCACTTGAATCTTTCAAAAACATAGAAGGATAAACCTAAAATAAAATTATATTTTGATTGATCATAACAAAATAAACATAAAAATTGCATGCTAATATATTGATTATTTATATATATAATTATAAAATATTATCTACATTCATAATATTTTTCAATTTTATTTCATAAACGTTTTTGAACAGCAGACCTAATTTTATGGGTTTACGACTACTAATGTTCAACTCTGTAACCTTGCAAATTTGAACTCAATCCAGAAGACAAGGGAACTTCTGGATCAAGTATTGGGATAAATTTTACCTTCGTGGAGGGCTTTTTTAAAGAACTAACCCGCATTTGCGTTCCATGGAGAGGAAAACTAAGAGAACCTCCCATGGTTAGTTTGAAGCAGGATTGGAGTTTTTGCCGGCAAAAAGGGTTTTTTGCCAGGACAGTGGCAGAAACCTGGTAAAAATTGGCAAAAACCAAATTATCTAAATTGCTGATTAAATATTATTACAAAATACTTGAAACAAATTTAAATCAATCATAAGGAATAATAATTTTGATACATTACATGATAAAATTATTTTTAAAGCATTAATAATTAATATAAGGATAATAATTTTTACAAGATTGAAAGTTTTTGACCTCTTTTCATTTTAGAATCCTTAAATAAATGTTTTTTTACAAATGGTATTTTTTTTACATCTTCATAATAACTTTTGGTATGTATTATTTTACATTATATCACTCTTACACTATATTTAAAGAGCAACGCAAGAAAGCTAAGATGGATATTTCATTAGATAGATTTTGAAAATCACCTCAATTCTCAATATTACTTCAAAATGCAAACAAAACCACACAATTTAATCTCATTGGTTAAATCTCCTTGGTGAAGATATTACACCTTCTAGTATTATCAAATATGTTGTGGATATTAGCAAATATTTTTGCAATCACCAAGCTCCTTCAGCCTGGCTAAAAGAATGCAGTGATAGTATTTTACCTCAGTTACCTAACTTTTTTTTAATTATATATATTTATAGTATATATTTCAATTTTAGGAATAATTTTGTATCAAAAATGTGTTTTTGCCCTCTCATCTTGGAAAATATAGGTTTTTGCCACTTTGCTTGGCAAAAACCTGTTTTTGCCAGGACAGTTTTTTCCATCTGCGGCAAAATCTTGCCAACCCTGGTTTGAAGGCAAGAGGACTAACCCATGATCCGTCTACCAGTGAGGATGCTTCATGTCAGAACTGAGGTCGGTGTGTGCCGATTGTGGAATTCGTACCGACTAGCCATTGCTGGGGATGGGACTAACTCGCATTTGAGTGTTACACAGATGAGAAAACCTCCTATGATTAGTCTGCCACTGACAATATTTTGTGTCAGCACTGGGGTCAATTTGAGCCGTTTGCAAATTTCATATATGCCAGTCATCACTTTGTTTCAAACCTGGGTGATATCAACGGCAAGTGCTCTAACCCCTAAAACTAACCTATTTCAACTGTCATCTTTGCCATAAGTTTCATAAAAAAAAAAAAACTAAATTTAAGTGCTCAAAAACATCACCTCTCCCCTACCCCAAAAAAAGAATGCATACAATATGAATGAAAATCTTTTAAATCCCTAAATTTGTATGCAATAAAATCCTTTATAAAACCGTATATTTCTGTACAAAAGCCAAGAATTTTTAGAAATTTTTCTTAACCTTAAGTCTGTTTATTATTGGATCCATAAAGTTTTAAAAATTCCTGGAGGAAAAGAAATGCTCCTTCCTCTGTCAAGCATTAGTGATAATTAGTAATATAATAGCCGAAAACAGAAGACCTAAATATTAAAAAAAAGAAGCACAAAATGTGAAAGAATAATTATTATCTTTCAATCTTCTAATTATGAAATCGGAAGGTTCCCACTTCTTTTACCCACTGTGCAGCCTTTATTTCCAACTGTAAAGTTTGCCCTATTTTTTTAAATGTTGGCTTACACACACAAGTTTTGAAATTTGGTGAAGTTCCAAAAAAAATAAAGAAAAGCTTACTTTTTGGTTTATATTAGGAAATATACATAAATTTTCTATCTTACATCAAACTAATTTTAAAAAATATATACCTGCATATGGAATCATGCCCAGAACTGTAGGGGATAAACCTTTGTACAGAGCTCTATAGCCACCTTCCTATAAAAAAAAGTAATAGCAGATAAATAAAGCTGAAAATCTAATTGACTTTTTTTCTTTATTCAAAAAAATTTGGAGAGAGATAAAAATGGAGAAGGAAATGACAAATATGGAACATACTGTTCTGAAAATGCATGATAGAGTATCGTAAATGCCTGAGTATACATGCTCTCCAGTGACTTGAAATGCAAGACGAGCTCGTACAATATCCAACGGATATGTCATCATTACAGCTGTTACACCTATAAAAATCATATTAAAAGTTGAGGCTAATTTACAACATTAAAATAAAAGACATAACAATTCACAATAGCGGATAAAATTGTGGTTACAGAAAAGCTTGTCATTATAACCTAATACACACATTTAATGTTAAAATAGTTATAATAATTAATAAAGATGATGTTAATTGTAAACTTATTATAAACATATAATTTTTGTATTTTTAATACGTGCATTTTGACTGTGACTTAGAAATTTTTTGTAATGGCAGTCAATTTTTTAATATGCCATACTCATATCAAGCTTTTTATGTACAGTACGGAACCGATTATCCGGAACGATCGGGATCATCGCTATTCTGGATAACTGATTTTTCCGGTTTTCTGAATCGCTACAAAAAGCCGTTTTTTTTATTGTTAAACCCAACAAAAAAAAAATATTAGGAAATAATCTTAAAAAGAAGAAAAAACGATGAAGTAATACAGTAATGATTATTTCTAAAATGATGGTATGGTAAACATCTTTCAAAAGAGAAAGAAAAATCTCAAAATCTTATGAGGAAAAAGTTTTTTTTTAAAAAAATGGCGGGAAAATTCATCGAATTTCGTTCCGGCTTTTTGGTTTTCCGGTTTTCTGATTTCCGGATAACGGGTTCTGTACTGTACTTACAAGCATAATGCTGTTAAAGTAATAATTTAAAAAACAAATCCATTTTTATCATGTAATGTGCAATTATTTGTTAAAGACTAATTTGCTTCATGATACAATAAATTGTATAAATCATATCAAAGATCAATGTAAAAAAACTCAATGGGTAGAACAATTGTCAGTTTAATGAGGAAACCATTTGTTGATAGTTAGCGCATTAATTTCTATAAAGAGATATTGAGTCCTCTGAGCCCAACCCCTATTCGCCAACCCCAGAACTTCCAACCCAGAGCTTTTAATTCGCAGACTTCTGTGAATTAAAAACACTAAATCTTCTTTGTCAGAATATAAGTTTCTAATTCGTATACTTCCGCGAATTAAAACATAATACACTGTCGAAATTTTAAAACTTTTGCTAAATCCTGTTAATGAAATTTTTGCATACAAGTTATTCTTCCTTCAAATAGATTCTTTTGGTGTGGCAGATTTTCTAGTTGCACCAGAATCTGCTAATATCTCGATTCTTATTTACACTATTTCAATGTCAAGCAACAATTTCTGTATTTACCTGATTCAAAAGTTACGTTTTGCAATTCATATTCATGTGATTTACAAATCGTACATCTATATTCTTATTCACGTAATATAAAAATCCTATATCACAATCTGTATTTACAATTTCTTAAAATCCAATGTCACTATTCATACTCACGAGAGTTGGAAATCAAATAAAAATTATGCATAGTGATTCATATTTACATGAACCATAAACTCAATATCACAATTAGTATTTCTGAGTTTTTAATGTCAAATCTAATGTCACCATTCATATCCTAGCTATTTTAAAATCTAATATCGCGATTCATATCCAAGAGAGTTTAAAACACAATATCGCGATTCATCTCCAAGCCAGTTTAAAATGTTATATCACGATTCATATTCAAGCGAAGTCCAATATTGCAATTGTGAGAAGTAAGTTTTTTCTTAAATTGGTTACTATAAAGTGTGACATTCTTTATTAGTAGGCAATTTAATTATAAATGCTAGTTCAAAAAATAATGTTAACTATAAAATATGGATGGGACATAAATTGATATTGATTTTTCACACACAGTTTTTTAACTTTGTGTCACAAGCATCCCTGATTAATATGTAAAGAACAGAAAAAGTGCATTATAGTACCTGCAGCTGAACCAGCAAAAAACTTTAATGCATGTGATTGTCCAAAAGTATTTCTAAGCATCTGAAAATATCAGAAAAAAAAACATAAGATTAAAATGTCTAATATTTCACATTTTCAATAATCATTTAAAGTTTAAACTCCAATAAATTTAAAAGTAATAATAAAAAAAGGAAATAAAAACAAATGCATTTCAAAATTTGACAAAAATACAGACAATTGCAAAATAAAATTAAACCCAAATTATCATTTTCCAATATTAACATTAAAAAAATTTCTCACAAAATTTATACTCTTAATATCTTTATAATCTAAGAAACATATGAAAGAAAGATAAAATCTGAATTACTTGTTAATAATACTAACCAACTTTTTAAAAAAATTGAGGAAAAAATAGATCATGAATGTTAAGGCTCAATAATTTCGAGATTAATGTAACGGTTGACGATTTAAATTGGTTGTAGTATTTTTTAACATTTGTATTAGAAATATTTATTCTTACCGTTTTATAGATTTCAAATGAAACAAATTGAACAGCACCATATGGAAATATCCGGACCATTTGTGCTCCATTTCCCTTATATAGTCCTAAAATACTTTCTTTGATTACTATGCCTCTTAAACCAGAAAAAACACCTAAAAAAAAACAATTAAAATATATATAATTAAATTTCAAATAGAATAAAATAGATTATAATAAAAAATAGGAAGATGAAACAGTTAATTTAGATTTATAACTTGGTGTCTTTTAAAATGATTAAATAACTGTATTTCCCATAAAGCATGAACAATTGCAACACAATAAAAACTAAATAAAAAAAGAAACTTGGAAAAGTTGAGCTAAAAATTTTCACTTTTAGACAAATTTTGTATGTCTATTTTATTGTATGTATCAAGTCCTTTTTACACAGCAACCTACATATATTTCCACATTTCAGTTAATGCATAGGTTTTTATAACTATGTTAATAGTTCAACAATTTATCAATATTAATTTAGTCTAAACGAAAAATTTGAACACATAAAAAATATAACAAATATACTAAGTAAACTACAAAAAGAAAAGGATATATAAATAGAAAATTATCTCAATAAAAAAATAGTAAATAGCACCATTAACTATTTATTAATAGAAAAAAATAATCAAAATATGAATTTTTTTCCAGAATCTGATACAGAAAATAACTATTCAAAAAATAAATAAAACCTCAAGAATTCAACAGGACTATAGTATGTATTTTTGACGAATTTTTAAAAAATAAAATCAGTAATAAATTTCACAAAGATAACAACTTTAATAACAGATAAATAAGTAACAAGTTAATTCATATAAACTACAAACAATAAAATAACATAGCTATATTATAGTAAGACCTACATAAAATATTAAATAAGAACTTGAAAATGTATAAAAAGTATAAAGAAGTAATGAACTCAAAAACTAAGAAATTTACAATAAATATTTTTAAAAAAATTATAAATATTAAAAATAATTCTGAAGAAGCATGTGTATACCGTAAAAATATTTACAACAAAAAAAATTTGATTAACACATTTATTGATTTAATATGTTAAGAAATTTTGGTTTAACCACTTCTTCCCAGTGCAAACAATAAATTTTTGACATTTGTAACAGCTTACTATTCATTTTCCATAAATGCAAGTAAATTTAGAAAGTTCTCCATTATTTTAAAGGTTTTCTACAAATATAAGCCCTAGCTGCATTTTCTTGTTTTGCACATCCTATAACTTCTGGAGTCATTTCTTGAACTGACAACACGAGTTTCAACGTTTTTATCAACTGATGCACAAGTATCGGACATGATGTTTGAGATCTTTTCCCTGATACTTTTATTCTCAATCATAAGCATCAAGAGTTAAAATATTTTCTTCTTAAAACAAAATAACTTAAATTCTTCTTTTTAAAACAAAATAACTTAAATACTTCTTTTTAAAAAAATGTGGGTAGCATTTCTGAATGATAGATACACGAATCAACTAGTTTTAAAAACTATCTAAACTATCATTACTAAAATTGTAAGAATGGCATTAATGATAGGACCGTTAAAACAGGGCGGTACATTTTCAGGAAAATGAAAGTTTCAAGAATGGTAGATTGAGGTTCAAATGCAGTAAGATCAAATATACCTAAATGCTTGTAGTGGTGATTGTGGGCTTGCAATAAAATTTTAATTCTGTCTAAAGGAGCTACTGTTGTTTTTGCACACATGCCAGCAACACCTGGAAAAAAGATTTTTAAATTAAAAATTAAACAAATCACTGAGTGTTAAAAAATTAAATTACACAAATTTATTTTTCTTTGCTTAACTGATTTTTACTTTACTGATAAAAATTTAAGAAATTCAGAAAAATAAGAAAACATAAACATATAAAGAACACAAGAAACATATTTTGAAATGTTTTGATCAATTCAAATCTTAAAATACATTTTTTTAAAAATAATGAAGTTGTTTTGTGTGAATGTTTTCTGAAAAGCCTTATTTTACCTCTTATTGCTAGAAATTCTACTTTGCACACATGGTATCAAACAATTGATACAACTTTTATTTCCTATGTTTATTGTAAAAATTTATTTTTAAAAAAAGTTATAGTAAATTTAAACCAATTTTAATTGAAAATTGTACATTAATCAGGGTTGTATTTTGATACATAATGGTTTGACCAATTTTTATTATGGTTTCGTTAAAAACTTCCAAATCTTTAGGTTACATTGTAATTTAATTCAAATCTAAATAANATATTATAGTAAGACCTACATAAAATATTAAATAAGAACTTGAAAATGTATAAAAAGTATAAAGAAGTAATGAACTCAAAAACTAAGAAATTTACAATAAATATTTTTAAAAAAATTATAAATATTAAAAATAATTCTGAAGAAGCATGTGTATACCGTAAAAATATTTACAACAAAAAAAATTTGATTAACACATTTATTGATTTAATATGTTAAGAAATTTTGGTTTAACCACTTCTTCCCAGTGCAAACAATAAATTTTTGATATTTGTAACAGCTTACTATTCATTTTCCATAAATTCAAGCAAATATAGAAAGTTCTCCAATTTTTCAAAGGTTTTCTACAAATATAAGCCCTAGCCATAGCTCCATTTTGTTGTTTTTAATCAGTATCATTTTGCACTTCCTATAAGTAAAGGAATCATTTCTTGAACTGACAACAGGAGTTTCAATGTTTTTTTCAACTGATGCACAAGTATCAAACATGATGTTTGAGATCTTTTCCCTGATTCTTTTATTCTCAATCATAAGCATCAAGAGTTAAAATATTTTCTTTTTAAAACAAAATAACTTAAATTCTTCTTTTTAAAAAAATTTGGGTAGCATTTCTGAATGATAGATACACGAATCAACTAATTTCAAAACCTATCTAAACTATCATTACTAACATTGTAAGAATGGCATTAATGATGGGACCGTTAAAACAGAACAGTGATGAAAGTTTCAGGAATGGTAGATTGAGGTTCGAATGTAGTAAGATCAAACATACCTAAATGCTTGTAGTGGTGATTGTGGGCTTGTAATAAAATTTTAATTCTATCTAAAGGAGCTACTGTTGTTTTTGCACACATGCCAGCAACACCTGAAAAAAAGATTTTTAAATTAGAAATTAAACAAATCTCTGAGAATTAAAAAATTAAATTATACATAAATGTACTTTTCTTTGTTTAAATCTACAACATTTTTTATTTCCAATTAGCAGATTTTTGTGCAGTGTTTATGCAAAACTACTTAATAATTTCTAGCAAAAATAATATAAAAATTTAGAAATTCAGAAAAATAAGAAAACATATAAAGAACATAAGAAACATATAAAGAATTTTGAAATGTTTTGATCAATTCAAATGCAAATCTTGAAATACATTTTTTTTAAAATAATGAAGTTGTTTTGTGTCAATATCAATGTTTTCTGAAAAGCCTTATTGAGGATTTACCTCTTATTGGTAGAAATTCTACTTTGCACACATGGTATCAAACAATTGATACAACTTTTATTTCCTATGTTTATTGTAAAAATTTATTTTTAAAAAAAGTTATAGTAAATTTAAACCAATTTTAATTGAAAATTGTACATTAATCAGGGTTGTATTTTGATACATAATGGTTTGACCAATTTTTATTATGGTTTCGTTAAAAACTTCCAAATCTTTAGGTTACATTGTAATTTAATTCAAATCTAAATAATATGTATAACTTAAAGCAATAAATTTTTAAAAAACAAAATTCTAAAAAATATTTGACAGAAAATGATTTAAGATTATTACTAAAAATACAATGCATTTTTCCAATATAATTATATCAGAATTTTATCTTTATTAAATAAAACTAATATGATTTTTATGAAAGTTGTTTACAGTTATAGGTTTCATATCATTATAAATTTTCCATTATTAATTTTAAATATTAAAACACTTTATGCTTTCTACTTTAAAAATTCTGATTAGAGGACTTAAAAGGGAATGGGGCAACTATTATATAGTCCTCAAAATCTTGTAAAATTTTTGTTGTAAGAAAAAATACACACATATAAAAATGAAAAAAATTCTATCCACCTTATCTATTTCGCTTTCAATCTTCAACAAAGAAATGATATTTGATACTATATTAATATTATGTACATAACAGTATAATTGTTGATTGTAAAAATAAAAAGACATTTTTTAGTTACGACACAGCATTTTGCAAATTGTAGGATGTGTTTTAGTGTATTTCTGTACATTTTGCTAAAGAAACAAGACAGACTCGACACAAAAATTCCAAAAAACTGTTCAAAATGTTACTTAAATAGAATTTCTTGTAATTAATCAGCTATTAAAAACTCCGACTTACGAGGGTAAATCGAATTATATTTTTAAATCGACACTCGCTTTGTAAAAACATGCAAACAGAAACAAAAAAAATGAAAATAATTTTTTAAGAGATCAAATTATCCAATATATTGGACACCGGATCCCAGGAGGTTAAATATTTAATCAATAAAACCGCCAACAAAATAGTCCATCAGATCATCTCACGCCAAAACAAACACCTTCTACAACTAATCAGTAAGTTTAATGAACTTAAATGATTTCCATAGGTAAACAAGAATAATATCAGATTTTATGAATACTTCACAATTTACCTCCTGCAATGAAGGATTTGTAATAAACATCCATTTTTTTCAGTTCCACAACAGGACCGGCTCTTTTTTCTACAACAGCCATAATATTTCTCGAGAACAACAACAGTAAACAAATTGATCCGTTAACTTTGACAGAGAGCTTGTCAAATCGTTCGTCCACGCGTGCAATAAGTTCAAAATGTAGGTTAAGATTTACGGTAACACATTCATTGCAATGACGAGAAAAACCAGTCTTTAATTTGATGTTCCTGGAGCAATCCGATATACGTATCCATGTGAATTCATAGCTCAATATTCACACACAACATCTTTACTCCTTGTGCTCTCTTCGCGAATTTACGCTCTCCTTATGATAGGAAAAGTCATTACCTCACTTATGATGTAATTCAATGACAGGGTTGCCTTATATTTGTAATTTTTCTCGCCAGGAAATAAAGTAGAAAGGCGCCAAATCGTATTATGAGCAGAGAAATGTTCAGCTCCGATAGATACTCAAAATCAGCTGTTCCCAAATAGTGTTCCGCTCGGGTTCCGCGGAAGGATCACATGGGTTCCAAGAGTTTACATTTCTTTTAAGCAGTAAATATTTAGGAAAGCTGAAATTATATTTATATCCAAAATAATAAACAATAATTTTTTTGATATTTTGGTTATTTTATTTAATAATTTAATAAAATGTGAGCAAAAAAATTAATTTTTTTTCTTTTTTTTTTTTTTTTTTAATATTTCTTTCAATAACAATATATATTGAATAAATTACGTAAAGGATAAGCATCTTTAAAAAATTGTATCAGTATTCGAGCTTTTCAATTCAAAACAAATCTATGAATTCATAAGCTATGAATTCATATAGGTTTATAAGTCTATGCAAAAAATGATCTTGATTTTTGCAACAAAAAATAGCGCAGTTCATTTAATATTTTTTTGGACTATAACAACCGTTTTTATTTACACCCGTTTACTTCGTTTAACTTTTAAATTTAAAAGCATATTATTATTAGCTCCTGTCGCTATGTCAATCACAGCTATTAATGATTCTTGATGTAGAGACAATAATGGAAAAGAAAAACGAACTGGGAAAGAAAGTGTCAGAAAGTTTATAAATCCATAATGTGTGGTGCGATATTTGACGGCCACAATTTATTTTGTTCTTAGAACTTTTTAATCAACCTAAATATTTAAACTATTAAAGGAATCATATAAAGTATAAAATTTTATTTATCGGTGTTTGACTTGTAATTTTAGCCTCAACCTTTAACGTGGAAGACAACGTAAACTCAAAAACGATGAAAGAGAAAAGAACAATTGTAGTAATTTTCTTTCTTTTCTTTTTCCTAGACTTGCGTAATTTTAGTTTCTGTAATAGAAAGCATGTTTTCCTTATGGAAAATGAAAGGTATTTCGCATTGGCCTTCAAAAATGCATAAATTTTTAGATAAACATTTAAACAACATAAATACCTAGGAAAAAGCTACCATTAAAAAACCATTCACAAATTTTTCTATTGATAAATTACTCAAATCCTATAAAAGATATTACACACGAAAAATTTAGAAAAAAAAATTTTTTGCCCACTTAGGTGGCTTTAAAGTTGTCTTTTTTTTTCTTCTTTTCTTTCTTATATAAATTCAGTTTTTAGTATATAAAAAAGTCTTCGTCGCAAATAGAACAAATATTTAAAATATTAATGAATATTGCAGAAGAGAATTCTTTGACCGTGTATTCATTTAACAAAAACTGCCATTTTCGGGCATTTAATGTGAGCTAAATACAAGGTCAAAATTTTTTTCTTCTGCAATAACTCTTAATAATTTAAATATTTGTTCCGTTTATAACTATAAAAACTTTTTTTATTGTTAAAAAAAAAGATACTCCCCCTGTTTTTTGCCTCAGCTTTGACTCTTACTGTAATAATTTGACTTTACGATTAAATTGAAATGGAAAAACTATAACATAAAGCAAAAAAAAAAAATATCTATACATTAATTTATTTTGAAAACTTTTGCATCACGTTTTAATATTCTTAAAACGCAGAATATTCTTAATGCAAACTTTTGCATTAAGAATATTCTGCGTTTTCCATCTGTGATCGAAACTTCTTGAACCTTAAAGTCTCCTTGGAGAAACTTTTTTCCAACTTTTTCTTCCTTCAAATTTAGTTCTTATTTCAAATTTGAAATTTTTTTCAATTTCTAAGGCTATTTTTTTAATGCGTTTTTAAAAAATGCTGGAAAAAAAGAGGAATTTAGTGTTTTAAGTAAGCATTCATTGCTCATACTTCCTCTCTGATCAACAAAAAAGTCACAAACCTATTTTCCCATTTAGGTGCAACGTAATATTTTAACAACCTCTGTGACCCACTTGTGCGAATAAGAAAGGGTAAAAATGTAGAGACTAAAGCGTAAAAAACTGTCAATATAAAAATTGCGTGCCATTTTTTTTTTCCTTTTCAGAAACCGACCACGATTGAGGCTCAAGAATTATGTTTTTGGATCCACCATAATGTATTTATTGCATACATTGACCGCAATTCTTCCTTAAACAACAATGCACCACATTAATGTTCTTTTGAATCGCAAAATACTAAATTTTTAGATTTAAAGATCTTTAATAGAACATTCTTTTTTAATGTAAAAAATAATTTTCTTCTTCTAAATTTAAAATAAGATTATAGATTGCATTTTTAGCTTTCATTTTAGTTAGTTTTAATAGCAAAGGAAGAATTCTTCTAAAATGCTAGTTTTTATTTATAGCCTTATTGACCGATTTCTGAGTAAAACTATCTTTAGAGACTGTAGTAGATAGATAACATAGTCAATGTTTTCGTTCTTTTATTCCTTCATCCCAAAACCCTTGAAACACTGGAAGTGCGCCAAAGAGATAATTCGCTGTTTTTGGCAAACCATAAAAGACAATAAGAACTGACGTCATTGGATCTCTGAGTAAGCGGAACAAAGTGAAAGAGGAAGGAAAAAAAAGGTGAAGGTTGACTATAAAATATGTTTCGCTCAAAGTACAGATTGTTTAGATTGTAACAGATATACACATTTTAACTGAGCGCTATTCGATTGACAGACACACTTGTAATTTACGTAATAAATATGTAATTTACCATGAAAAGAAGACATTGCTTTAATGAATAAATGATATTTTAGCTATTCATTATATTATTATGAATCATAAAATTTAACATTCTTTTCTGACAAAATGCATTTAATGAGTGTCCAGTCAAAACTAGTTTTGACTCCTGAATTAGATATTTACTGCACTGTATAATAATCACTACTGTCGGGCTAACTGAGAGAGGTTTCTTTTTTTTCTTCTTTTTTAAAAAATATTATCAGGCGAATTCTAGGCTACATTTAACCTGCTAGTCTAGTATCTGAACGCTTTCAACTCAATGAATCGTTTTTTCCTATTGCTTATCCGAATAGTTTGATAGTAATAAATCCAAATAATGATTCCAGAATTTTAATATCGTTTATATATCTTCTCAAATTTTCGATATTTCACAATATTTTCTTAAAGTCGTGGTGGCTCAGGAGATAGAGCGCTCGCCTCTCAATGAAGTGACCTGAACCTAGGTTTGGTTCAAATCCCTGCGATGGCTGGGAGATATGAATTCTGCACCGGGCTGCATCGACTACAGTGCAGACGTTAACTATCTCTGGTGGAAAACGGATTATGGGTTAGAGTCTCTTTGCTGTCGGGCTAATCGAGGGAGGTTTTCCTCCCCGTTTTCCCCCCTGGTTAGTTCTGTTAAAAACTTTTCCACTAAGACATTTCTCCCAATGGTTGATCCACAGTCGTGGTTGCTCAGGGGATAGAGCTTTCGTCTTCCAATGAGATGAACCGAGTTCAAACCCCAGCGATGGCTGATAAATACGAATTCCCTATCCGCTCACAACCGACCACAGTGCTGACGTAAAAATATCCTCAGTGGTTGACGGATCATGGGTCCCCTTACCATCAAGCCTAATCATGGGAGATTTTCGTGGTTTCCCTCTTCATGTAACACAAATGCGGATTAGTTCCATCAAAAAGTCCCACACGAAGGCAAATTTCTCCCATACTCTCAATTATACTTGATCCAGGAGTTCTCTTGTCTTCTGGATTGGGTTCAAAATTACAAGGCTATAGAGTTGAACATTAGTAATCGTAAACCCGAAATTGGGTCGGCTGTTCAACGTCGGTTATATTATAATTCCTGATCCAGGAGCTCCCTTGACTTCGGGTTGGGTTCAAAATTACAAGGCTACGGAGTTGAACATTGATAATCCTAAATTCAGAATTGGATTAGCTATTCGACGCTGGTTAAAAAATAATTACAAGGAGAAAATTTAAATCATTATAATTAACCTTTTAATTGGCGATTAAAAAAAATACTCGTGCGTAGAAAGTAATTGAATAAAATTATTCTGAATTCCAAACATGGAAAAAGAAATATTTATTTGCGTGTGTCGTCATTCACTGAAAATTGCAAAACAACGGTTTCATCGAAAACCAATTCCGGTAATTTCACTGGAATAGCTTTTTTAACCTTCAAAAGTTTATTTCATTTATTTCGTATTTATTTAATTGGTCTGATGGTTGCTGTTTTCAGTGAGGATTTTATTTATGTTCCTTTTTGGTCAGATGATTTTAGTTTCCGAAGCGGTTCTTTTTATAAACATAAATAAATTTTAAAAAATCTCAGTTTTATTATTTTGTTAAAATACATTCCAACCAACTAACTCCACATCAGAAAATATGCACAGAGTAATAAAACAAGCATACAATATACTGAGAATGTGAAAATAGTGAGAATATATAAATTGGACTATTTTTGACCTAAAACTATTTATGATTCTAACAAGATTCGACATAGGTAGCATTGTTTCGAACTTATTTATTTCATTTTTTTTTAATGCTGAATTAAATGAGATAAAATATGAAATTGTACTACAAACAATTATAATTGTGCAACAGAACAAATAAGTATATTAAAATGTATTTTAAATATTTATGTGAGGCTCTTCTTAAGAGACCTCTTTTTGACGATACAACCCCATGTAACATGAAGTCATGTTGCAGTCAGAAAGCACTTAAGCAGAGCCTGACTAAGGCAGGGGCAGTTTCCCCGGGCCACCACAACAGAGGGGGCCCCAAATCGAATAGAAAGTTTATTTTACGTTTCCTTCCTTAGTAAATTTTTTTAAACAAAATATCAGTACAGTGTAAAATCCGTCAGTTTTATGTTTGCTTCTTCATTAATCTATCGTAAAAACACAATCGATATTTCGTAATTCCACGCAAAATGCAGCAAAATTTTCGCAATTAAGATGGACAAATTTGACCAGTCAAATTCCTGTATTTTTACATATCGCAAAATGCGATATGTTTTCAAAAATACAGACTTCTGATGGGCTAA